CTTACTAATAACAATTCATGTAAATTATATTAGAACCGTATTGCTACTAAAAGTATTACATGTCAGGTTGTTATGACCCATTATGGAAAGTATACGACATCGGTTTAATTTGAACAGTTCATAAATCCATTCTGTTTGGGATTAAATCTAACGGTTTAACCCATGTACATTTATATCATGCATGTTATGTCCATGTGTCCATTGACCAGAAATTTAGAACACTCTTGGTTGAAAAAATAAATAAATAAGTGAATGCATAGTCCCTATCTTTGTTCTTTTTGTATCCTATTTTTTATGTATTCGCCATATTACTTTGAATGGTAATTACTCATAAGCACATATCAGATTATCAGTACTCCAGAATCTATATATGACACATATTTTTGAGAAATTAATTATCCTAACATTCCCCAAGTGATTGGTGGAATTAGTTCTTTCAGCTATTTTCAACAAAAGAGTTGAGGAATTGCTAATTTAGACAATAGCAGTTTGGGAGCTAGCAAAACTATATTGGTTTTCTACACATAAGTAATTTCTCATGATCATTTTTATTGATTCATTTTTACAAACATTCGATAGACATTATAAAAATAAAACCTAAGAATACAATGTTTCACGTTCTGTTTAAAACTCATAGAAATTACACGAACCAAACAATTATTCAAAACTAGAGAAAACTTCATACAGAATAAAAAACGACATGTAATAGAATAATAGATTATTAAATACTACGTATATAATATGTAAAATAATCATACCTGAATAGGATGGAAAAGCCTTTGAAGGAGAAAAGAGTTGGAACACCGACTGAGTTGATGTAGGACCGTCGAGCAGTAATGAAGGAGCGGCCGAGCAGAAAGGCGGAGCGTGGAGGAGCGGAAAGGCGGAGCGGCGGAACCAGCACCGAGATCTTGGAGGGGCACATTAGCACATAAATCATTACTTTATCATCAATATAATACGTAGTAATAAACAAGACAATAAAAATAAAATAAAACAACAAACTAAAGAATACTTTAATTCTGATTAGCAACTCATACGTCAAATGAACTAGAACAACCGGGAGGTGGTAATCTGAAGAACACCCGATGCTCAGCCCTTTACTACCTACTGGAATCGGTGTATAAAATCTTTTCAAAGGAATTCTTTGTCAAATAGCATAGAAAATTAGAAATTAAAGACTAGATTTATAGCAATATGAGTATAATTGTAAAAATAGCATTGTAAAAAACTAAATCAACTAACCCACAATTACAATACAATGAACAGTTTATTAAATAAGAATAATACAGAGAAATAAATGAACTCCACAATAGACTTGTACAAAAATAAATTATAAAATATTAAAATTGAAATAATAATGAATTAAGTCCACAATGAACTTGCACACAAAATTAATACTTTTAATGCATAATAAAGTGAAAAACTTACACAAAATAGGAAAGTGAAGGTCGCCGGGCGACCAAACAGCCAGGTGGACGGAACTCGGAAAATGGGGTGATGGCCCAGAAGAGGCTGTCTTCCTGAATTGCTGGAGTTGCTGCGCAGAAGGGGATGAATCTGTCGATCGGGCAATGCTGCAGGAGTGGGCTCCCAGGCCCCCAAGCCCTATTGTAGATCCGCCGCTGGCGCGGAGCGCGGAGGAGCGGCCGGTGTCGTGTGCTTAGAGGAGCGGAAAGGTTGAGCCCCCTATAATTTACTTTAGGCATATTGACTTTCAATTGAATTGAACAGTACCAAATCAAACTAAATTGAATCAAATCAAACTAAACCAAATCAGAACCGGATCATATATAATGTGATTTCAATTTGGTAGTATTTCTTTTAAATCACATTAATTCGAACAGAACCTAAATCCCCCCAAAAAATGAAGGGGTTTGTCCTCAAATAATACTAATTAAAAGCATTTAGACAAAAAAAAGAGACTTTTCTTTTAAGTTCCAAAAATAAGACTAAATAATACTTAAGGGACTGTTACACCCTAAGTAAGCCCAAACTCACTGGCCTGCTACAGTAACCCGCCACAGTGACCAAATGTGCAGTGACCAATGTTACATTTACCAATGACATAGTTACAAAATCCGCCATTGACCAAAATCCATCAGTGACCAAAAATCCGCCAGTGACCAAAATCCATCAATGACCAAAAAAAGGTTGGAATGGGAGGAGATCGAGATTGCAGACAGGATTAAGAGAGAAGAGAAAGATGAGGGCGCACCTGCGGAGACGGTGATGGCGGCGGCGAAGGCAGGGAGGCGGCGTGAGATGCAGGAGGCGGCTCAGAGGAATGTAGCGTCGAGGTTGGAGGAGCGTAACGTGAACTAGGGCTTCACGATTTTACTGGGCCATTCTTTTCAGAAATTGAAGGGCATTTTAGACAATAAACATCATTTTTAATCAGTTTTTTGTCCCTCCGAGATTTCCTCTTATTTTTGTCTTTTGAATAGCTGTACACCCCGTTTTTGTCATTCTTTCAAAAATGAATCGAACAAAAAAAATCAATAAAATCTTACTACGTATATTATGTTATTAAAAAACAACAAATCCAACCAAACCATGATTTTTGTTTCGTAATAATCATTCCAATCCGTTTCAAACTGATCCGTACCGAATTCGAAAACTGATATGTACAACCCCTAATTTACTTAGTGACGTTTGTAATTACTGTAGTATCTTTACTCTGTATTACTCCCTCTGTCCCTAATAAAACTCACATAGTACAAATCGCACGAAGATTAAGATGGCGAGTCTTGTGTGGTGCAGATGAAAGAAATGTGTAAAAAAATGTCGTGAATCACAATTTTTTACCAAAAAAGAGTGAAAGTTTATTTGGGACGGATGAAAATGAAAAATGGAAGTTTTTCCAGTGATGATGGGAGTAAAATGTATGAGGTTTTAGCAATCAATGGACATTGATTTTTTTAACAGTTATGAAAGTCAACTTTAACTTTGACCAATGATATTTTTTAATACAATACTACATATTTTTTTTAATATGAAAATTATATTAAAATGTTCCTTGTTAAAAATGTTTTCATCAAACTATAGAATTTATAAATTATATACAAGTACTCCCTCCGTTTCGCAAAGAAAGTCACAGTTTGACTTCTCTAGGATTAAGGAAATAAATTGACTTTACTGTAGAAGACACTGTTTGGCACTGTTTAGACTTTGTTTAGGCACTGTTTATATACTGTTTGACACTGTTTGACACTGTTTTGGCACTGTTTTGAAGTAGATTTCTTTGCCAAATAAGGAAATAAGGGAAGTGTGACTTTGTTTTTGAAACATCCAAAAAGGAAAGTGTAACTTTGTTTGTGAAACGGATGAAGTATAATAATTGAAATCATTACCCAAATCGTGTCATCATTGACAAAAAAACCAATATAACAAATTTTTTGAAAACGATGTAGTAATATTTAAAAATTACCTCGTTCATTGATGGAAAACTTTTATCACTTAGAGCATCTCCAATTGTAAAATGTACACGGTGCACACGTGGCATGAAAAATAGCCACATAAATATTAGTAAATAATTCTTTCTCTCCTTATTTGAATTATTTTATACAGTTTTGGTAAGTTTTTCTCCACACTGTCAAAGAGACCGTCTAGATGTTGACATTGTTGTTGACATTGCAGGGAAAAACTTACCAAAATTGTATAAAATCATTCAAATAAGGAGAGAAATAATTTATTTGCTAATATTTATGTGGCTATCACTCATGCCACATGTGCACCGTGGACATTATAGCATTGGAGATGCTCTATTACACTTGGTTCAATGATTTCAATAACATTTAATAATGAACCCATGTTTGTACACGTCAGACGCATTTCTCTTTACAAAACGGAAACATATTTATACACATGCAAAATTAGGGATGGGATTGGTCCGGTCTGAGTCGGGTTTTTCTAAACCCGGAAATTAGCCTGAAGGTCTCGGGTTATGAAAATTAAGAACCGGAACAAAGCCCATTATATTCGGTCTGAGTCGGGTTTTTGATAGATCGATTTCGGTCTGTGTTCGGGTTGGGCCGGTTAAAGCCCGAATGTGAAATCATATCATTGTCTTTTTATATTTTAAATCCCAATTTTAAATAAAATTAATCAAAAACACAAACTGCAAATAATAACACAAATATTAGTCTCCAAAATCACCAACAATTCAAATCCAAAGAAGATAATTATCTTAATATTATGTTTAAGATGCATATAAATAAATAATATAGGTTTTCTAAAAATATTACGAAATAAAACTTATAGATAAAAAGTGACTAAATTTACTATAAATATATTTTCATGGTCATTACGGTAAACAAATTGAACATATTTTTAGTCAGTAAAAGTTACTAGGTCATGTTTTCATGGAATTACAAGGTTCGCACACATCATTTGTCTACGTAGACACAATTGTCTGTATATAAAAAATTCTTTCCGAAATTACAAAACTGTCTATATACAAACAACTCTGCCAACATAGACGCACAATTTGTGCGAATGATGTACATTAAACATTTTAAATCCATTTTATAGTCGAACCTTACTTATTCCACTTGACTTGCAAAATTAACTATCCATGGCATTTAAATGTATTCAAAATTCTATACAACTCATACTACCTCCGTCCCCTAAGTTTGGGACAAAGTGGTGTGGTGGAATTTTTAAGAAAAAAGTAGAATTGTTTGGTTGGTATTAAATTGATAAAATGTGAATAAAGTAAGAATGAATTTTAACCATTCAAATATTACCAAATGTGGTATATGATAAACTTAATGGGACAGACGAAAAGGTAAAACAAGACAAAGTTAGGAGGACCGAGGGAGTAATATATTCAAATGTATCATGTGTGAAACGAGATACTTTAAATTAGTATTTATTTGACTTGATGCAAAATGAATATTGTACAATATACATATTCAAATACGAATGGGTTAGAAACTTAGAATGAAAGTAAACTAAACGAATTAAATATGATCATGATAAAATTGAGAATGCAATATGACCATTTTTTGAGTTTTTTTAGAGAACCCGTAAAAAGAAGTTGAGGAAGTTCAAATCTAAAAAATTCCGATCTTGTAATGGTTATCTGGAAAGTGAAGTGAAAAGATTGGAATATAGAATATCGGGCCAGGATATTTGGAATTGTGGCGTTTTAATTAATACTTTTTTCAGTCTTATTCGTGCGTGTGCTCCAGATATTTTATGATTTCCTGATTGAAATCATAGGAGGTAAACTGAAAATTGCCGCAAGATCAAACGCAGACAATGGAGCGAACCCGAGTATGAAAGTCAGAATCTTTTGATGAAGAGCGTATGTGATTCCGGTGGAGAGGGATTGAGATTGGAGGGTTTGAATAAATCCTGAGAAGATGAATGCGGTGGGGAGGATAGGCAGCTATATTACTAAAAGCGTATACACTGTCTCTACACCCTTCCACCCGTTCGGCGGTGCTGTAGATATAATTGTGGTGGAGCAACCAGATGGGAGTTTCAAATCCTCTCCTTGGTATGTCCGTTTTGGGAAATTTCAGGGGGTTCTGAAGGCGAAAGAGAAGCTGGTTAAAATCTGTGTCAATGGTGTGGAAATGGGTTTCCATATGTATCTTGAAAATGATGGGCAAGCCTGTTTTCTGAGGGAGGTGGATGGAGATGAGGCATCTTGTGGAGGTGGTGGTGATGATGACACAACAAATGTACTGTCCAATAATAATACTAGGTTGTCTGTGAAGTCCAAAAGCTGTGATTTTGTTGGTATGGAATCGATTTCAGCTGCCAAGATTGGTATGGGGGATGGTAATGTAGTGGTTAGGGAAAAGCCACACCGGTCTGGGATTTTGGGATATGTTTTCGGAAGGAAAGCAACAAAAGAAGGCGGAGACGAAAAGGGTAGTGATGCAAGAAATGATGACAAATCTTTGGAGCATTCTGCGGAGATTGCTTCTGATCTTTTGGAGGTAAAATGGTCTACCAATCTAGACTCCCCCAAATTCCTTAAAGATAGTAATAATAATGCACCAGAGGAAAGTAGTGATTTGAAAGGTGACTCGAAAAATGAAGATGGTGATGATAAGAGTGCTTCCATTGGTGATAAAAGTGCAGATAGTTCACTCTCTAGCCCGCAGTGTATTGGGGACATAAATTCTAATATTAATTTAATGTCATGCACATGCTCCCATGATCAAGAGAACCCTGAAGCTGAAGTGAGTTCAATTGTTGAAGTAGAATCTCAGACCGTCCTTTGCATTTCAAGTATCAGTAGTGCAACATGCAAAGCACATAGTACAAAAGATGGCAAAAGTAGCCCATGTCAGAGTCCACCTGAAGCTAATCCTGTTTTTTCCTTCGAAAGTTCTGTTACATCAGTGAGCTCATCAGAGGAAGAGGATCAGCTCCTCTTTGGTGACCTTGATGATGGAAGTACCAACAAGGAGAAGACAAACAGCTTGCATGATCCTGAAGAAGTGGTTGAGTCTCATGTTCCACTCTATGACATTAGTTCTTCTTCAAACAAATATGATGAAGACAATAAACCATTTGTTTCTTATAGAAGCAGCAAGTTGACGAGCGCCGTTAGCAATGCTGACATTCCTGTAAAGCATGATAAGGCTCAACGAATGGCCATATCTTTACCCAATATGTGGCCTCATCATGATAACCAATTTTCCAGCCAAGTTTCTTGTGAGATATTATCACAACACATCATTGAAGATCCTTCAATTTGTCAAGAACTGAATGATAGGCTGACTGTTCCAGTAACTGGTATCTCTATGCTGTGATTACTTTTTATTGATCTATGGTTTTAAGTCTCTCACTATTCTCATTTAGTTGCAACAATAGTCTTCTCACGGAATCTAAGAGTTGAATTCTAGGCATAGTGTATAACAGAGAAAAGGTGAGGACAATATGAGTTCTAGAGTTGTAGAGGGTAGATGAAGAGTTAGAAAAAGCAGGAAAGTGAAGATGAAAAAGAAAATATTTATGAGTTTTAACATTGTGGGAGTTGCCAAAAATATAAAGTGGAACAACTAATAATAAATTTCCATAAAAGTGAAGTGAAGCAACTAAAAGTGAACAGAGCAGTATATACTTCGTATATGCATACTACACTGGACAGGAATTTCATTCTGGTAGGATTAAGAAATCAAGACTAGTCAATTTTGCCAACAGATGAAACTACTTTCGGGGGAAATTTGTCTCTACCAATTGATAGCTGTGGTGAAAGCGAGGTGATGGATCTGCCACAGCCTTCTATGGATGACGACAATGTAAAAACTGGTGCTGGAAGTCTTACCAAAGGTACAGGTGGCATAAGCACAGAAGAGGATTTGATTAAGGTCACTAAGAAGATAAAAAGGGCATTCACTCCAACATCCGAACAGATCGCCTCTTTGAACCTTAAGGAGGGGAAAAATGAAGTTATCTTCACATTCTCAACTCCAATGCTTGGGGAGCAGAAGGTAGTTTTGGGTCTAGTAGTGTCAAAACCAACACGTATTTTTTTCCTGTGTAGGCCCACTTGATTCCACTATTATGATTCACTAGGTCTTATTTGCTGCCTACCTGGTGCCTAGTTCTTTTTACTACATTGATAATAATTATTATAGTTTATGCTTTTTAAGTGTATCTTCCATATGGTTTCTGTGTATCTTTAAATCAATGTTTTATTTTTTTGAATGTCTATGCATAAGCAAGAACATGCCAGGTTAGAAATATTAAATATATATGAATGCATTTTACAGGTGGATGCTCAGATTTATCTGTGGAAATGGGACATGCGTATTGTGATATCTGATGTTGATGGGACGATAACAAGGTAATATATATATATATATATATATATATATATATATATATATATATATATATATATATCCCTTTTTCTCCCTTTTCCAATTCAAATGGATAATTGTTCTTCTTGAGAACTGATAATGGTGGCATACCCTACTGGTGATTGATATAACTGCTCTTGCATACTTGCAATTGGCTTAACCAGAATTTCATGTTTTGGACTTCATAGGCTTTTAATTAAATTAACCTAACAAAAAGGATATATGGTTATATTGGTTTTCAGTTTTATACATTTCTTTGTCATTACTTCTTTTCCTTATATTGGTTAGGTTAATCACATAGTTATATTGTTCTTTACTGGCTGTTGGAACAATTCCAGGCACTTGAAGATGCCTTTTAGAGACCACATCTGTTTCATAGTCAGCTTAAATATGTTTCTTAAATTGAAAAATTTGTAAAGAGGTTTTCTCTCTCTTTAGTGAGTATCCAGTTTCACAAGTTTAATCAGAAGTTGGAGCTACAGTTTGTCACTTTGTTGCCTATTAATAAACAAGCAGACTAGTTTTTTTGACAAGTTGTAATTTGGAAACATAAAAATGGAAAAGGTATTTCATGTTAAAGGATCTGATTTCTAAATTGAACAACAAAAATGGAAAGATAAAGCTTTCCAAGCTAGCTTAAGAATTTGGAAAATATCAAAAGAGGTATCTTTATCCATAATAAGTGCAAAACTTTTTTGGCATTTTGTAATCTTTTAGCAAATACAAAAAACTCAGACATGAATTTCTCTCTTGATACCCGGCCTCACCAATGAAATACCGTAAAAACTAATATTTGTCCATTGTGCAAGCATATATATATATATATATATATGATTAATGGTTTTGAGAAGTTAGTCCAAAGAAGAAACTTAATAGACATCCTTCTAAGTTTCATACTAGTTTTTGTTCTCTTTTTTCCCTCTATAAGCTTCTGGAATTTTGTCATCACAAAATGTCAAATCATAAAGGCATTGCTTGGTGAAATGCTTGTGCGCCTGACTTAGGTTTGAACTTATCTCCTCTGAAATAGTGAAATGTAAAAGCTGAGCCAAAACTAGATAAGAGGCAAAAAAACATATTTTCATTAGGAGCTACAAATCATAATGCCAAATATGTTGGATTATCAGCATAATTTTAGACTTTTAGTGTCAACTTAAATGTCTAAAATTAAGTTGATATTATAGACATTCATGCAAAAACTGTGGCAAAGTTATGCATAATGGCCTTCATGTTGGAACCTTCAACCTTCTAAAGAAAGAATTATGTGAACTACAAAGCTGATAATTCTTCAAGAATATAAGGTTTGGATAAACAAACACCAACTTTTAGCAATTAGATTAAGGTGGAATATATTAATTAATCCATTTCTGATCATGGATTACTCATTCAGCTTTTGCATTGATAATGAATACTACCTCCGCCCTAAAAAAGTTTGCCATATTGACTTTTCTTGTTCAATGATGATAAACTGTGCACAATTATTTTAATTATTATATTCGTATATAATTTATAAATTTTGTACTTTTATGAAAATATTTTTAATAAGGAACCTTTTAATATAATTTTCATTTTCAAAATAATTTTGTGTTAAGAAATATCATTGGTCAAAGTTGACTACCATTGACCAAGAAAAGTCAATTTGGCGAACCTTTTCGGGACGGAGGGAGTAAGTAACTTGGAGTATACCATGGGTTCCTTGCAAATGTTGCAATCCATATTCACATCACAGTAATAAGTTTTGTCAAATAGAGTCAGAGCATGTTAACCATTCAACTGACATAGATGTCTCTTCATCCTTTTATTCAGTTTTTTATTGTGAGAACATATTGTTTTTTCTCTTTCACGAGTTCCTACAATGATGATCACATAAGTCCTGGGATTTACTGTTCTAAATGTGATGATTTTAACTGGAACGAAATAACAGATCTGATGTTCTGGGACAATTCATGCCTTTGGTTGGGGTAGATTGGTCGCAGACAGGCGTTGTACATCTCTTTTCCGCTATTAAGGTCTGTCTCAACTGACTATAACAGCATCTGGCTCTTTGTATGTTCTATATCATTGCAACTTTACTAATGCTCAAGTCAATAAAACCCATGACTAAATGTATTTCTCAGTCATTAAGTCATTTGTTTTAAAACTCATGCCTACAAACAATTACTCTGTACTAGGTTTGATGCTTTTCTGTCTCAATGCTGCTGCAGGAAAATGGATATCAGATGCTCTTCTTAAGTGCCCGTTCTATTTCTCAGGCCTATATTACTAGACAATTTCTAGTTAATCTCATGCAAGTAGGTTCGATAATATCTTATTGATTGGATACACACACACACGGTTCACGAAACAGAACTTGGAGATAACAGATGGTTCTCTTCTGCTGCAGGACGGAAAGGGAATGCCAGAAGGTCCAGTTATTATATCACCTGATGGACTTTTCCCTTCTTTATTTCGTGAAGGTCACTTGGCAATTTCCTTCCATTAATGCCTTAGGGTATGTTTGGATCCTGGAAAACATCAACAAAGGAAAATAATTAAACTAAACAGTCATTGGCTTATGTTTGATTTTACCTTGGAAAATGAAACAAGCTTAGTTTTTTGTTTTAGATATATTTAGATTTGTTAGTCTACTATAAATGACTTAACTGAAACGATTATCAACAAATATCTATAATAAATCTATTGAGTATGACTTTCTGTTATTCCCCCGCATTTTACTTGTTTGCATTTTTTCCCCCTCCATATACTTTCCCTAGTATTTCCCTGGATCCAAACGGACCCTTAAAACCGCGTTTTTATCACATCTTGTATTTCTGTCACCGGCAGGAAAATGCATGTTTCTTTGTCTTTTTTTTTGTTAAAGTATTTGTATGCTTATACTGTGACATCTCTTCTGGTTTTGTAACCTTCTTCAGTGGTTCGAAGAGCGCCACACGAATTTAAAATAGCATGCCTGGAGGTCAGTTACTTATTTAGTGCAGTTCCCCCTCATTTGATTTTTATCAGTGATCTTTGTGTTATATGTATATATATTTTTTGCAGGATATTAAGGCACTGTTTCCTTCTGATAGGAACCCCTTTTATGCTGGTTTTGGGAACAGAGATACTGATGAGATTAGCTACCTTAAAGTTGGAATACCTAAGGGAAAAATTTTCATCATAAACCCAAAGGTACACACAATGGTCTGCTTGGCATGCTTTAGTTCTGACCTATCTGCATTGTTATTCTGTTTTTTCTTTAAACACTAAATATTGTAATTGCATTGGCTGAATCAGCTGGTAATTATAAAAGTAGTGCAGGAGTACTTTGTTCTTGGCTTAAGTTGATACTTTTTAGATATGATTATTTTTTACTTATTTAAACGTATTCTTAAAAAATATTGTTTGATAAGTCAACATATTCAGTGGGATATATATATTTATTATGTCTTCTGTCAACTTGCTCTCCAGAGTACCCGTGGTGTGCACTAATAATAACATTTCATAATGGTATGGTAACGTACAGGGAGAAATTGTTGTGAATAGACATATCACCAACACAAAGTCATACACTTCCCTTCACGTTCTTGTAAACGGCATGTTTCCAGACTTTTCCTCGTCCGAGCAGGTTTAGTTGTTTTAAACATTTTTGGAAATCTTTTTGGAACAAATGGTGGTGGAATCATTCGCCATGGCTAGTGACATGTCACGCGGGAGACTTATGGAGTTATGGGTCATCTTTGGTTTCAGGAGGATTTCAATTCATGGAACTTTTGGAAACTTCCACCTACATAATACCCCAGTGTGGGAGCTGCTAGAGGAATCTCAGCATTCTTTGATGTGGTTGAAGATTCCTAGAAACATCCAGGTTAATTTGATGTCATCTTTGTTTGAATTATCACTAGTAATCTTTTACTCCCCATTTACTAGCACCTAAAATCCTCTTGGCTCTATCAACTGTTTATATCAAAAATAGTGCAAAAATTACTTTTTTGGGTGATGACCGAAAGAGAAATTACACTTTTGCCTTCATCCTTTCAACATTGAGTATTTTCTTTACATTATTACACTTTTCCCTCTCCTTTTGGGGTCCATTTGGAACTACAAAAATGATAGGGAAAGATAATACGAAGGAAATTATAAATGATTATAAATGAAACTTGGAAGGTAAAAAATGTTGAACAAAATATAACATTTTTTTTCAAATTTCAAACTTGATAAATTTATGTTTCTTATTTTTAGAGTTCATTTTTCGTATTTATTTCCATCTTCAAAATACTAAGAAATCCAAACATATTTAAAAATTAATATGTGTTTCTTTTTCTTTTGATTTTCTCTCTGAAGCAAAACCAAATATAAGAAAATACCATTCCGTAGGAAATAATAGTCGTCCAAATGTCCCCCTCTGCATATTTAACCACACAATTTCATTGTTGTTAATAAGGGTGTCAAGCCAAAGCAGAATCTTTTTCAGGATTAAGCAGCAAAACTTCCTTCAAATTTTACCTTACCAAACACGCTCTTCTACAGACTGTACGGATGACGTTGAAAGCTGGCCGTGCAGGAGGCTACGGAGCAATAGATCATATTGCCAGCCATTGGTTACAGTTGATATGCATGCAGCAGAAGGTAGTAATGTTCATCAAATAAGTCCCACTAAACCAGTGGCATCAACTTTTGCTCAACCTCATCAATCATCATAGTCCATAGATAGATGGCGCTATTTGCTATGCTTGTATAGGGCTCGTCCACATATTTTGTATATTTATAGGTATTTGATATATTGAACAATGAATGATAGTAATTGATCAATATCCTTTCATTGGTAATAATACATTTTATATTAGGAAAATGTAATAATGATATATAGTGAATATCTTGTGCATCTCCAACAGTAACTAGTGAACGTTTTTTTGTCAAAATGTTTTGTGTTTGAATTGTGGAAAGAAGTTGCATTTATTCATATATGATGGTCTCGTGAAGCTCAATTTGTGAGACATATACACGCATTGCTTGTCATCAGTACTAGCATTTTCAAAAGCTGACACTTGTTTATTCCAATATAGAAAATTGAGAGGCAGAAAATTGAGGGTCAGCTAAGTTTTTTCAACAATGCTTCATGTACGGATGTACCCACTCTTATACTCACCATGTTTGTGAGAGTTTTTTTTGTCTGTGAACCCGGTTCACAGATAATATTTTGTTTGTGCAAAATATTGTCTTTGAACCGAGATTCACAGACAAAAAAAAACTTTCACAAACATAGGTGGATACAAAAGTGGGTATAAGAGTGGTTACAAAGATCATTTTTGAAGTTTTTTTTCACATCCAATTTGTGAGACATACACGCACTACTTGTCATCAATACTATGTTAAGAAAAGAGTGCGAGGGAAAGGTTGATTCTTATGTTTCGTTTTACCTTTAGTCCATTTTTTATAAATTTGAGATATTTACAATGGAAATATGGAATGATGGATATAATAAATATAATAGCTTCAGATTAGAAATAAAATTTGAGCTCAAATTTTAAGAAAAGAGTTGTGCTCAATGAGCTCAATAATCTTTTCATAGAATTGAGGCCTAATAGGTGAAAAGACCAACATTCAGACATAATAATTGCATTTAGAAATTAGAATATCACACCAATGCATTACACATATTTAGATGAAAAAACAAAGAGCAGTTGCTAATACAACAACAGCATTACTGGACTTAAGTGAACTAGCCCTAAACGGGTTAGAGGAAGAGCATCCTCTTTTTAATGGCTTCCAAATATACATTTTCTTTTTCAAGCAACAGCCAAAGACACATGAAATATGTTGTTCTATAATAAGGATGAATAAACAGAAAGACGGTGCGGAAACGGACAAAAGGGGCAGGGGCTCCTATAATTGTAGGCGCCTGTTCGTTGCTGATGAAATACTGAAAGAGCTAACTTTGAGAGAGGTGGCGACCACGAGGGGAGCTTCCGGAGAGTCAGTGACTGCAAACTTGTCATGCATGAAGCAACTGTCTATGATGGACTCATCTCTTAGAACAATCTTGTAGCAATAGCAGCTCTTCAATCCTACCTGGTTTTGGTAGCATTCGTGGGACCCGTCTTTCACCTGCTGGAAATTCCATATCACACTGAACTTTCCCACTGTTGCAACCAAGTGGCGCTCCTGCTTCCCGTTCTCTGTCACCTATTTAATAAAGAAATTCCATTTTATAGCTCTGCCCGATATTATTTTGCTCAAAAAGTACTATCTATACACAACCCGCAATCAAGAAAGAAAGAGGCCATTTTAATAGAAAACTTTGAGCCTTTGAGCCCATTTGTATAACCTTTTTACGCTGATAATTTATTATGCTTTTCACCAAATCCTAGGGATAGGAAATTCACTTGTGTTAAGAGTTAATTTCTTATGTTTTAGTTTCAGACTGAAAATGCAAAAAAAAAAATGTCCAATAAACTAGTAAAAACTGATAGTATAAAAAATTAGTTTGATTAAGTTTCAATTTTTTTATTCCCAAACGTATTTTTTTCCTTCCTACTTTCACTTGTGTTTTCTTGTTTTCTTACCCTATCATTTTCAGAGTTCAAAACAGACCCTAACTATTTGCCTGCACTGGATGAATAAGCATATACAAGTGCATGAGGTGATACTTTGCTGCAATAGCTTAAACGAAGTAAAATGACATCCTACAGTCCTACCTTCATTTTTAGATCATATTTTCTGTAAACTACTCCTTATTTATAAGTAATAAATACTTTTTAAAAGATAATTTAGCAATTATTCATTTCAGCCTCAAATTCACCAAAGTCGGTTAGATTCAAATTTTAGTCAAGCCGCCTCTAAACCTATAAACAGACCCTAGCTATTTGGCTGCACTGGATGAATAAGCATATACAAGTGCATGAAGTGATAGTTTGCTGCAATAGCTTAAACGAAGTAAAATGACATCCTACAGTCCTACCTTCATTTTTAGATCATATTTTCAATAAACTACTCCTTATTTATAAGTAATAAATACTTTTTAAAAGATAATTCAGCAATTATTCATTTCAGCCTCAAATTCACCAAAGTGGTTAGATTCAAATTTTAGTCAAGCCGCCTCTAAACCTATAAACATCCCATGTTTACCTAATCCTCATGAACTTAACATACTGTTTAGATATATAGCATTCAAAAACCAATACATTAGCTAGCTTTCATACTATGGTATGGAAAGTAACTAAATGTCTCTTTACTACCCTCCATTAAGTTTTACACGTTGTATGCAGCATTGTATAGAAACCGTAGCAACTAGCAATTAGCACAACACATAATAAGATAGCTACTCCATTCAATCGTGCAGTAAACTGAAAGTCTGAAAGAGTTAAATGCATAAACCAAATGTAAAGGAAAACATACCCAAGAAAACTGTGCCTTACGAAGCTTATTATTTGTTCCTGCAATATGAGAGTCCAAAGGAGTTAGCTTCAACAACCTAGGAGCAGATATCCTATTACCCATACGGCCAGTGAAACCAGTCTTCATCTTGCCATCCTTGTCCTCAAATAAGGCACATATCAAAATCAAGTAATTGTCAGTAGTACCCAATATCCACTTCCCATCATAAGTAACATCAATATGAGTAATGGGTGAACCAAGCCCAGGAAAAGCTGTCTTTGCCTGTCTCATGGAACTGATCGAGTACAGTCTGATTTTCCCATCAAGTGAACCAACTGCAATCGACCCATCACCTGTTGTAGCAATGCACTGAAAATTTGTGCCCCTAGAGAATTGATGCCCTTGAGTCCAGTTCAACACAGGGGTAGTAACGGCGTTCTGAACTATACCATTTCTATCACGCATATCCCACCTACACAGTCTATTATCATCCAATCCTAAGAAAGTTGAGCCAGATGGATCCATCTGAGCTCCTTTACTATCATTAGTGATATCCCTCATGGAAATGTCCGTCCCATCCTTCTCAAACTTCCACTCGCTCACTATTTTTCCTGTCTCAATGTCAAGCTGGTGAATACCCTTTGAATGAGGCCTATCTTCATTCATGGGGCTCATGAGTAACATGTTGGTTTCGGCTCTCATGAGTAAAGCTTTCCTAGGAGTTGAATGATTCGAACTAAATCTCTCTTTGTCGAAGTTAACATACATTCCTTTTCCTTGAATCCCATTATTATAGTTCCTCAAGACTTGAACACCTGAATCACTTATCAGGAAGCTATTATCCAAAGCCCCTAATGCTAAGCTTTGAATTTCTCCACCATTAATAGAAGCTGCTTCTTCAAACTCCTGCTTAAGCTCTCTCATTGGAGTCTTGAAGCTGTCTGCTGCATCTTCCCACATAGAGTCGTCAGCAATTTCCGGATTTGCCCAACCTATGAAGTCTTTACCATATACTTTGACCTTGTTAGCATCGTTTGCCTCGTAGCCATAAGTATTCTCAAACAGGCAGGCTTTGTACTTGTCAAAGAAGGATGTATACTCTTCCTCATCAAAGAACTTCGCAGCCCACACCCCATTTGCAATGAAATCGATCCTCTTCTGATCTTTGTAAGCTTTCAGTTGTAGATTTTCATCCACTTTGACCCGGATCTTGTTTCCTATTTTCAAGACCCACCAAGAGGATTCATCTTCTTCTTCATCTGCCTCCTCGGATACGCCTTTAACGAAGAAATATGGAGTCCGCTTGTCCGAAACGACCCATTTAGACTTGGCAGTGCTATCTCGGACATATGCGTACAGCTTAATGGCGTTCTTCAGAGCCGGATCCTGTTGCGACCCGACATTATACTTGAGCTTCAGAGACTTGAGCTTGGTCTCGATATCGTCCAAAGAAGGCGAGTTTAAAGTCTCCGGACGGTAGGATGAAGGAGTCTCGGCGTCATCGCCGTCGTCCCGTTGGCTGTCTTGAGTCTGGGATTCGGACTCTGTTCCGTATTCCGATTCTGAGTCGGAATCCAAACGCTCCAGATCTTCACGGCTGTGATTGGCACCCATTAAAGCGTTCGAACGGATTAGTGATTGAAGGAGAGGAATGGAAGTTGAGTGATTTTGAATTCAGGAAATAGGGTAAAGGGTCGGGATGCGAAATTGGAAATAAGAAAGAAGAAATGGAATAGGGAAAGGCTATTTGCAACTTTTGAATTTTGAAACGTTGAGTAGATAGAAGCATTTTGAATTTTGAACTTTTTGTCCGTTATTAGTTGGTGAAGATAATTTGACATTGGTGATTGGTCATTACCAGGACGAAAATTGTGGTATGGCTAGCCTGGGACTTGGAACCGTAAAACCGGGAAAACCGATCTGAACCGAACCGAATTTTCCGGTTCGGTTCAGATTCCTATAATTTTGGACTTCATGTTTTTTCGATTTGATTCCTATAGTATATGATCGGTTCGGTTCCGGTTCAGTTCCAGTCCGGTTCCGGTTCTTAGGTAGGAACCGAACTTCTTATACATTGCATGAGTAATCTTCATTTGAGGTATTTCTGAATGGAATTTTTTGATGAAATTTGGTGAGCTCGTTTTTAATGAAATGTAGATTATATCCACTAAATTTGAGTTTAAATTTCAATCGGGAAATTAGTTAAATAAATTATTGAAAAACACTAAGTCAAAATACATATAAAAAACACAATGTTTTTCAATATTTTATTTAACTCACTTCCTGATTTCATTTTAAGCTAAAATTTGGTGGATGTAATCTACATTTCATGTAGAACATGCTCACAAAATATCATAATTTTTTTTACCCGGAAACACCTCAAATGGAGGTGGCCAGACAGCGTTCCAGACAGAAAAATCTTATCAGGAATATTCGTCTTGCATAATATACCTTATATATTTTGGACCACGCCAATTCGAGTAGTTGTTATTTTACTACTTTAGTCCACTTTTATATTTTTTATTTGTTTGTGATTGTATATATTTGTTATTTG